CTCATAATTTAATTTTTCAATAACTAATTGATCTAAGTGATCGCAATTTGGAAACGAATAAAAAAATGAAATCAACGTTAACTTCTCTATTCCAAATTGCGATCACTTTTTTCTTATCGATTAATTAACAGTTTTAATTGAAATCAATATTTATAGAGAAAATAAATAACAAAAAAAACCTATTCTTCATCACTACTATCTTTTGCATCTTTTAGAATGTGAATATAACGATGAGAAACAGTTCGTAAGGTTTTCTGGTAAGCATCGAAATCTTCATCTTGTATATATTTCTTCTTTGCCAACATAAGTTTATTATCATCTTGTATATATTTTCTTTTTCTTGGTCTTGTTGTTCTTTTTTGTGCTTGTTCCTGTTCATAACGACACATAACCGATTCTTCTGATGATTTTACTTCATTAATCCACGTCCACAGATCAGGATGTGTTCTAACTCTGGCATTTAATTGTCGATGATAACCTTCTAGATGATTGTTTGTACGTGGTCTTTCACCAATAGTATAAAAGTGATTCCACATATTTAAAGAGAATCGAGCATCTTCAATGTAATTTTTTATAACATAATCAGTTAATTTATTCAGTTTTGAATCACAATCACATAATTCATCAATAATCTTTTCCATAGAATTATTAACTTCCTTTGGTGGTATTAAAGGTAATGCAATAATATTAGCTATTTGACGACGAATATTTTCTTCTTTTGATAATGTTACTAAATTATATTTTTTAACTTTTTTCCATATGTTTTGAGCAAAGTGGAAATGGCATCCTTTAACTAATGCTTGCGGAAATATATCATTAATGGCATTAATCATACCTTGTTCAAAATCTATTAAGATCGATGATGGATTTAATGTAATCTTTTTTTTTGTTGCATGAATAAGTAGTGATTGAAGTAGTTCATGATAACATTCTTCTTTTTTATCTTCACAACATGAATAAATTACTGATTTCATGCTAAACTCATCCCATACATGTATATAATAAGATTGAGCAAATAGGGCAGGTGATGTTCTGAAAGTTCCATCACCATTCCAATGTGGGTTATTACTTAATAATTGTAATGCTTGTTCCGATGCAAATGCTATAACTTTATGTGGTGTTGGTGAATTGCAAAATAAAAATTCTTGATTATTATTATTAATACACATATCTGCAGGAATTATTATTGATGATAAAGATATTGGTGTTGGAGGTAATATTTTTTTACGAATGGAATACAAAGTTGTTTTCCATGCTTCAAAGACTGGAATCGGACCAGCTGTGCCGTTTTCACGACGCTAAATAGAGTAAACATAATCGTCTATATACTGTTCAGATACAAGAAACAAGCACTTACAAATTTTTTTACTTCGTCTTCATAAATTTTTGTAACAGGTTGATCTATATCAGTTAATACTCGACGTTTCAATCCGCACAATACGGCTTGAACATTTTCCGGTAATTTGGGATCATGATTATGATTTCCACCATTTGTTTTTAAAATTACATCGTTTTTTAAAGTAATAGTACGAGAACACAATTTGAAAGTACAAACATAGATTAATGTACCATTCTGATTTTCACGTCTTAATCGATAAAGGTAACCATTATATAGAATTGCTTTTTCACCTTTTTCGGTTGTTGACCAAGTAAAGTTTGTATTCATAGTTTGATATGTAGTATGATTTTTCTCTCCACGATTCATATATATATATATATTGTCAAAAGAAAAGAGCTCATAATTTAATTTTTCAATAACTAATTGATCTAAGTGATCGCAATTTGGAAACGAATAAAAAAATGAAATCAACGTTAACTTCTCTATTCCAAATTGCGATCACTTTTTTCTTATCGATTAATTAACAGTTTTAATTGAAATCAATATTTATAGAGAAAATAAATAACAAAAAAAA